ATACTACCATAGTAAGATTTCTACAGTATTTGTACTACAGTATGGATACTACAAAGATGCTACTGTAACAATACCACAGTATCAGTACTACATAAGGATTATTAGAGTAACAGTACTACAGTACCAGTACTACAATAATAGTACCACAGTAACAGTGCTGTTGTTACAGTAGGAGTTTTCTATACATCATCTAGACCAGTGGTCCCCAACCACCGGTCCGTGGGCCGTTTGGTACCGGGCCGCACCACAGAAAGCTTATATTTATTTATATGTATATATATATATATATTTATATATATATATATATATATGTATATGCATATATATATATCTTATATATATATTTTTTTCTGAAAAATGTTTTATTTTGAAAATTGAACTATGTGCGCTCGTCCCTCTGACATATTCCCCACGCGTCACCAGGCGTTTTACCGTGCACGGCAGTTTCGCCGACCAGCGCGAACACAGATCGCGTGACCACTACCCCCCCCCGTTGATCGTTCCGCCCCTGCCCCCCGTCGGATCTACCCTACCGGTCCAAAGTCTATGGAAATATTAAAGCAGGTCTTGTGTGTTGATGTTAGTTAGTGATCAAGCGTCATGTTGTATTTATGAACAATAAGTGAACATATAGTGACGGAGATGCGATGCTGCTGTGTTGGTGCTCAGGAGCTGGCAGAGCGCTACGCCCCTCTGCTGCGCCTGCCAGTGACGGAGGTGGGCGGAGCTCTGGAGCTCATCAGGCAGCAGGCGGTGAAACGGGGCAAAGAGAGGCAGAGGTTCAGAGAGACGAGCGTCGCCACGCTGGAGCTCCTGCTGCCCCGGGACAACAGGAAGGTGTGTGTGTCCGTAACACGGAACCAAGACAACTAAAGCTAAAAGTCAACTCGCCTCTTAAACGTCAATGTGTTTTCAGGAAACGAGGACCAAGAGCTACCTGGAGACGAGGCTGGACGCGAGGGTGCAGGAGCTGGTGGACAGGTACACACACGCACACACGCGCACACACACGCACACGCACACGCACATACACAGAGCTCAGTGTGTGCTCCTGTGCTGCAGGATCGGAGAAGACTTCGGCCTGAAATACATCAAGCTGATCCTCAACGGGAGAACTCTGTGTGTCGGTGAGTTCAGAGAGTTTCCTCTGTTCAGCACCCGGCTCAGCCCCTCAGTGTGTGAGTGTGTGTGTGTGTGTGTGTGTGTGTGTGCGCCTCGTAGACCAGCCTCTGGACCAGCAGGGGGTGAAGAACCACAGCAAGGTGATGGTGCTGAAGGTCAGTGACGCGGAGTGGAAGCTCCAGCTCAGCGAGGAGGAGGAGAAGGAGAAGAACCAGAAGGAGAGCCTCCAGAGGACCCAGAAGGGCTTCCAGATCCTGTCCGAGCGAGGTACGATGACATCACGTCATTATGACACACATACGTCACGGTTATATTATTCTATCGTCGAACTTAAGATGACTGAACTCCTGAGGAGCTTCATGCAGGAGGCGTGTGTCTGGGCTATTGGCCCCGCCCCTCCGCTGTGATTAGACGGCTGGCTGTGATGGTGTCCCTGTGTCTGCAGATGGCAGTGAAGACTCCTCCCCTTTCCTGGAGATTGCTGACCAGAGAGGGAACCCTCTCACGATCCCCCCCCAGGAGAAGAAGGTAATATATATATATATATATATATATATCAGAGGAACATTTAATGTCTTAGAGCAAACTCAAGAACGCCGCGGCACAATTTGAAATCTGAAAATCTTTTGCGGCCCAAACCTTTAATCACAACTCTGATCAAAACATAAACTAGAGATGATTAAATGACCTGAAGAATCTAACAGATTAAAAATGTATTAACAGACTGTTTTGTGTATCGTTTTCTCCGGAGCTCATGTGTCGTGTTTTCCGCACAATGAGGCGCATAAGATCCTGCAGTCAAACGTCTGGCGTCGGGGCGGGTGGATGGCGGGTGGATGGGGGGGGTGGGGAGGTGGAGACGGTGCTTTCAGGGTCCAATCGATGCTGCGAGGTGCGTCGGCTCCCGCCGCCCGCTCGCCATCCACGCCTTATTTCCCCGTTAAGACGGTTGAGCTGCTGTAGAGAAAAGGGCGCCGTCTCTCGCTCTTTAATCTCATGAAGTGCTCGGCGAGAACGACAGCTTTGTTTCTCCGACGCGCCCTGAAAGCAGCTCCATCTCTCACTCAGCATCTCGCCGTCGTAGACGAGCTTTGGCGTGTTTGGCAGAGTGTACAACCAGTACGGATCAACCAGTTAACCAATTGATCCATGTATAAGAATCCGGATTATAAGGCGTACTGTGGTTTGAGGAAACTAAAGCCTTTTACGTGCGCCTTGGAGTCCGTAAAACGCCGTATATTGACTTTAATACTACAAGAGGCGCCCCATGTGACATTGTTTTGTTTGGCGGCGCCGTTTGTTGAACAACGACAGGCGGACAAGAGCAGCCGTTTGGAGCGAGAGTCTGATGGTTTTATTAATCTGTCCGTTTAAATTGTTTGTGCTTCATCAACGAATGTTTCACATAACTAACGTGCCGCATCATAAATATTTTCATAGTAATTTCAAACTTTTCAAAATTGAAAATTAAAACCATTTTATTTATTGTAAACGACCTCTGGTGGCCCACCTGCAGCACCTTCACGGCCCACCAGGGGGCCGCGGCCCACACTTTGGGACTCGCTGTCTTCACGTGTTTGTGTCTCCAGGCTCTGATCCTGGCGATGGGTTTCCATGAGAAAGGTCGTTCTCTGATGAAGAAGAAGCAGTTTGACCTCGCGCTGTGTCACCTGCTGCAGGCCGACCAGCAGTTCAGGTACTGACCTCATCATCATCATCATCATCATCGTCATCACCGCCATCATCGTCGTCCCACCCTCCCCATTGTGTGTCCAGTCGCTGTGGCTCCGCCCTGCTGGCGTCGGTGGATAACTTTGCCGTGCTGCAGCTGGACGTGGTTTGGTGCTACCGAGCTCTGGAGGCTTTGTCCTGCCTGGAGGACGGACGCAGTCGCCTACAGAGAGCCGAGGACTGCTTCCTGCGCTGCTACGGCGAGCGGCAGCAGCGGTTGCTCATGATCAAGGTGGGACATCCTCTCGGGTCACGTTTAAAGCAGACTTGAGACGCCGTCGCGGTCGGACGTGACTACTGTGTGTGTGCGTTGCCAGGGTAACACGGGCAGAGAGGAGGTGTTGTTCCTGCGGCTGCACCTCCTTCAGAGCCTCCTCTCCTACGTCGAAGGGAACGACGCTCAGGCCCGACACCAGCTGTCCAAAGTCAGTCTGTGATATACTGTGCTATCTTAGCTTAGCATGCGCTCGCTGCTCTTCCTCGCGCGGACTGCTGATGTGCGTGTGTCCCTCAGGTGGAGGCCCTGTACACTCGTCTCTGTCTGGACTCTGAGAAAATGGCTCAGCTGATGTCTCTGGGCTTCACTGAGCGAGAAGCTCGGCTGGGACTCCGAGCCTGTGAGGGAGACCTGCAGGAGGCCGCCATCCACATCGGCAACCAGAGACAGGTGCTTTAGCGTCCGGCCTCATGGAATGTAAAGCCTAAACGTGATGATGACGGCGTGCTGATGTCATGATGGCGATCAGGAACGAGAGGAGCTGAAGCAGAGGGAGAGGAAGAGGAGGAGCAGGAGGATGGAGGCCATCTCCAGCCTCACTGAGCTCGGTTACTCCAGGAGAGACGCCGCCAGAGCCCTGCAGCACGCTGACGGAGACGTGGACGTGGCGTATGGAGTCAGTACCTGTCTGTCTGCCTGTAATCACCCACAAACTGGTTTACAGGGACTTTCACTATGGTGATGTACTACAGGGGTGTTCGTTGTACTCTTACTAGCAGGTAGTATTCCACACTGTGGCCGTAGTAACGGCTCCTGTCGGGTCGCTGAGGTGTCACACGGTTCTGGACCCGGTTTCTCTTGTGTTCAGATCCTGCTGGACTCCGGTGGATCGGCTCAGGCCACAGGCAGCCACAGCGAGGGCTCCGTGGAGCAGGTACAGCTTCTCCTTCTCCTCTGCTTTGTCTCCGGAGGGGACGGCTGTTGACACGTCCTCCCCCGTGTCTCTGCAGCTCTTGTACCTGGGCTTCCAGAGGGACGTCTCCGAGGCCGCTCTCAGACTGACGGGCGGAGACGTCCAGTTGGCGACTCAGCTGCTGCTGGACCAGCAGGGTGTCCTCTCGCCGGAGCTGCTGTCAGAGTCCCCGTCCTCCGAGGAGCCCAGCACCTCTACAGGTAGGACGCACCTCACAGATCAGTTGGCATAACGCACAAGATGAAATGTAAGAGCGATATGATCAACGTGACCAGTTATTGAACGTGATCAATGATTCTGATCATGTGATCGATCAGGAGACGTGTCCACGGAGGACAGCGAGCTGGTGAACGAGGCCTTGGAGGACATTGCTCGTCACGAGGAGGACTACCTGGACCTGAACCTGGAGGAGGAGAGCGAGCTCATCGCCACCATGAAGACCTACCTGAGCCCCGCCCACAGCGTGTGACACGCACGCGTACACGCACACGCATACACGCACGCACACACACGCACACGCACACGCACACGCACACGCACACACAAACACACACACACGGTCCCAAGGTGACAAGTAGACTTTGATTTCTTTCCAACTTCTCACTTTATTTGAAAGTAAAGTGAGTTTGTCTGTTTATTATGATTCTTACACACATTCTGATTTATTTTATTTTGTAAATTAAACTTCATTTATTGTTGTTCTGACGACGATAATCAACATTTTGTTTTTGTCAAACATTTAATTTAATTTCCTTTCATGTTTATATTGAGTTCCATGTCCAAGACAATAAAGATCTGAAGGTTGAATCTGTGATGATCTCATCAGTATGAGAGTTTACTACTATTTATTTTAGTACTATAGTGTATATATATATATATATTTTTATTATAGTGCTTGTGTGTGGATTCCGTCTTTGATCAGCACTCAATAGAGACTCGTGTACACCAGCGTGACCAATCAGAGGACAGTTTGTTTATTGGGGTTGCAGGTTAGAAGTAGTTCACCACCCTGCGGATGGACTGGATGTTGGCGTTCTGGGCCTGCCACTCGTTGTGGCTGCAGTAGTCTCCCCTCTCCACCACGTACATGCGCCCGCGGAAGTTGGGCTCCTCGTACATCACCCAGCTGGGGGGGAAGCACACGTTAGACGCGCCACTCACACACAGGGACATTCACCGGCCCGGTTTCCGCGGTAACTCACGCTCCGTCGCCGTACACCTTGACGGAGTTGATGCAGCTCTTTGAGAAGCCGCGGCTCTGCAGGAAGGGGCAGTCGTCGCAGATCTCCACGCACTGACCCGAGAAGCTGCAGGCCTCGAACAGCTCCACGCGGTACTGCTCCCCGTGCTGAGGGGGGAGGGCAGAGGGGGGTTACCTTCCTCGCGGCGGACAAAAACAACCTAGAGGTGAATGTAAAGTGGTTCCTCCTCTGAGAAGCGCAGGTGGGTCCTGGAAACGTCTACGACCTAAACCAGAACGATGTTTAGACAAAGAGGACTCACCTGCTGCTCATTGACCCGCAGGTTAAAGAGCTCTCAGGTGAACCTGCAGACACGCTGGTCAGAGCACCTGCGCCATCATGTTTGTATGTGAAATGACGAGTCTGTTTGACTCTAAATGGATCATAATCTACTAAATGAACATCACGATGTACTGAAGAAGACTTAAGCTAGAGACTGAGACCATAAACTCCTGTTTACTGAGGGAATAAATCAGTCATTTCCTCATAGACGCCTATGGGAGCAGAGGAGTCGCCCCCTGCTGGTCACTACAGAGAAGTAGAGTCATTTCCTCATAGACGTCTATGGGAGCAGAGGAGTCGCCCCCTGCTGGTCACTACACAGAATGCAGCTTTAACTCGTGGAGCTTTGGAGAGCCGGAGGTTGTCTCCATCTCCGTTGTGGTCACACTTTGGGCTGCGGGCAGTGCTAGAGGAGAGGTCATAATCTGCAGGGTTCATCCTCTGGCGACCATGAATGTCTGCTGTGGTTTAGAGTTCTTGGCCTGAACGTGATGTGTGCCTACCATGCGGATGGGCTTGCAGGATCCCATGTGGTCGTTGTGGGAGTTCCACCTCTGGAACTCTGGGTACTCCCCGTGCTCCAGGATGTACTGCTGGCCCTTGAAGTCGGGGTGGTCGTAGCAGATCCAGGCTCCGCTCTCCACACGGATGGAGTTCACCCTAAAAGCACAAGTAGGTTATAATGCAGAAGGGCTGGCGTCCTTCAGAGAGAGAGCCCCTTCGCCCCAACCTCCACCTCACCTGTTCATGAAGCCGCGGTCCTGGAAGTTATCACAGTCTCCCCTGACCTCCAGCTTCCTGCCGGTGAAACATTTCCCCTCGTAGAAGGTGATCTGCAGGAGACAACGAAATCCAGGATGATTAAGGGGCTCAGCTTCTGCTGTTACCTGATGCAACTCTTCCTGTCCAGATGTCAGGGGGCGGGATCAGAGAGCCATGTGATGTCACTGACAAATCAGAGGAAGTCCCCCTTTGTGTCCTGCTCCCGGGTCACCGGAGAGGGAACTCACCAATAAACCAAATTAGACGTTGAGGTGTGAAACTGAAGCAGCGGGATGAGGAAAACAACAAATGCACTCGTTCTGGCTGAGGACCCTGGTGGGGAGAAGAGGCTGAAGCTCCGCGGTACTCACCTTTCCAGAGTACTGAGACATCTTTGCGCACTAGATGTTGTCCGACCTGACCCACGAGCACACGCACAGTGTAACAGAGAGAAAGTTGGACGGCCCAATATATACGGGAAGGGGGGCGGCCCAGAGGACAAAAGACGAGGGTTTGAAAGGTTCCTGCTGCCTCGGCGCTTTCCCTTCATCCTGCTGTGTGTGTGTGGACTCAATAGAATGTGCTGGCTGAGCTTTGTGGGGTCCATATTGCACACGCCACGCTTCTAGAGACAGAAAGGACTCATTCAGGACCTTTCACACCGCCAATGAAAAAGTCAAAGATGTCCCTAAACGTCACTTGTTAACTTTTGAAGAGCGGTTTCTGATCAAATTTACTTACAGATTAAAGTCAAAAATCCTTCACGTGGATTCGTAGTCGAACTTCAGAATGAAACTGAATTAAATATAATTTGGAATGAAAACACTTGAAAGTTTAAATATTTATATGTCTTTATATACACACATATACATATATATTAACATATAGTCTGAAGGAAACATCGCTTTGAATGGATCAGTTTCTTTGTTCACATTATTGAACACTATCGGCTTAATCAGCATGTACTCATTCATTTTACTTCAATATTTAAGATTATTTGTATCATAATTGTTGCTATAATCATTAGCGCAATTACTGTGTGCTTAGGGGGACTGTGAGGGGTCAGGATTTGAGGTCTCTGGGATTATAACACATGCCTGACTTGGCTGTGACAGATCAGACCCCAACTGAACACAGCCGCTCAGGACTCTTAGTTTGAAAGCGAGGACCGGAAGTCCAGCTGCGGTAATGCGCAGCTTGACTCTGACCGGCGGGAAGATGTCTGCTCCGTTCGGACGGTCGACCCGCTGTTTGTCGGCTCGCTCTCCGGTTGGTTTACTTTCACAGCTACGGAGGAATCACCCGGTGCGATGTCCGTTGGGAGAGAGGCGGCTGTCGCAAGCGCGGCCAGGTAACGGCTTCGTGCTAAAGCTAGCCGGCTAATATTAGCCACGGAGTCCCGTTAGCCTGTAGTTAGCTCATCGATCAGTCTGCCAAGCGATAGGAACACTCCTCGTGCTGATTTAAGGGCGGTGGTCTTCATGAAATACGACGTCACACGACGTGACACGTTTCTCACGTTAACTTTAGTTAGCTTCAGGGCTAAATCAAGCTACTTCCGGTTTGTCAAGCTGACGGACCTCAGACTGGAGATATTCTGGCGAAACACCCCACAGTAAATAAATCAAAGCGAAGTATTTCTGTGACGTATCGGTACTTGTGTCTAATTATTTAGTTCTATGTTTAATATAGTGTTGAATTAACATGATATTGTCCCTTTTACCGTTGTATTGTGCGTGTGTGTCGACAGGAGGCCAGCGTGGACCACTAGAGGGCCTCACAGTGTTGGACTTGACGAGGTGAGCGTCCATGGTGCGTTCGATGCCCACATGTCAACGCGTCTCAACTCCGTGTCCCAACGTGTCTGCAGAGTTCTGGCGGGGCCCTTTGCCACCATGATCCTGGGGGACCTGGGAGCCCAGGTTATCAAGGTAGAGCGACCAGGTGAGTTGTATGGCGAGTGTGCAAAGGATTGTGGGATTGCTGTGACGGCGTGTGCTTGAACAGGCGCCGGCGATGACACCAGGACCTGGGGGCCCCCGTTCGTCGGAGCAGAGAGCGCCTATTTCCTCAGCGTCAACCGGAACAAGAAAGTGAGTGCCTTCTCCTGGTCATTGGGGAGGGGCTTATCTCCATGGAAACCCTCCTCATGCCACCTGTTTGTTTCCTCCATCGACCATTAAGAGAAAAACTCTGCCCAGAACTCATTTAACAAGATAATGATGCAGTTTTGTAAAAAGTCTGAATTTATGTTCTGTTATTTCTCTCCTGAATGCAACAAGTAAATAACTTCTCAATGGGCCAATCGGTGCAGCTGGACGTCAGTGATGTCATGAGGAGCATCTCCTCTCTGATTGGCTGTAGAGACACAGCAGCAACATTACATTACATTACATTGTCCCACTTTGTATTTAATCTGGGAGAAGTTATCAACGGAGTATCGCTGTATGTGGTGTTTTATTCAGTGTTCAATTACATGATGACATTTTGATTTCCTCTATTTATGTTTATTGCTGCGAAACAAGCTGATTGTGTTTGAAGCCTCTGCAGCTTCTTTCGTGATAGAAACTCTGCCCTCTGATCTCAGAGTATTTCTGTGGACCTGAAGCATCCCAGAGGAGTCGGCGTCATTCAGGAGGTACCCGTCTCCCGAGGACACACCCTCATGAGTGGTGAGGACACCTTTCACCGCGTGTGCGTGTGTGTGTGTGTCAGCTTGCAGCAGTGTGCGACGTGTTGGTGGAGAACTTCCTCCCGGGGAAGCTGCCCCGGTTGGGTCTGGGATACGAGCAGCTGTGCGCGGTGAACCCGGGGCTGGTCTACTGCTCCATCTCAGGTAGGAACTCCTGCTCCCAGCAGGGTGCACCACTGTTAAAGCCGGAGGGGGAGGCAGGCAGAGGCAACCGGGTGGGGGTCCACTGAGAGATCACACACATACATTTCTATCATATCTAATGACTAAAGACAGAATATATATTCTTTGTTCATTCACCTGGATGTTTAATAACGCACCTGGTTACGGCCATCGCAGTGGAATGATGTGCGTGTATGCGTGTGCGTGTGCGTGTGTGTGTGTGTGTGTGTCCAGGATATGGACAGACTGGTCCTCGGGCTCAGAGTCCGGGTTATGACTCCATCGCCTCCGCCGTGTCGGGGATGATGCACATCACGGGGTCAGAGGTCAGAGTCTGTTCTTCCCCCTCAGGGACATCTTCATCAGCTGTGCATGTAGTAGTACTGCTAGCATTCGTAGTACTGGTGGTAGAGTTGAAAGTAGCTTATTCTCCGGCACCCTTCCGATGAGGCTTTGCATTGCTGGCAGGACGGTGAGCCGGTGCGTCCCGGCGTTGCCATGACGGACCTGGCGACGGGGCTGTACGCACACGGAGCAGTCATGGCCGCCCTGCTGCAGAGACACAAGACAGGGAGGGGGGTCCACATCGACTGCAACCTGCTGTCCTCACAGGTGTGTGTCTCTGTGACGGCAGAAGGACTGGACCAGGACACAGGAAGTCCTCTGTCAGCGTCTCAGTGTGGTGTTCAGGGCTCGCTGGTGAAGGACAGCCGCCACGCCAACATGTTGTCATATGTACACGCGGCCCAGCGATCACACAACAAATCAAACGCACTCCTGAGTCTGCTAGAGTCTCTGTGGTCCTGATCCTCCATGTGAGCCAGTCTCTGTGGTCCTGATCCTCCATGTGAGCCAGTCTCTGTGGTCCTGATCCTCCATGTGAGCCAGTCTCTGTGGTCCTGATCCTCCATGTGAGCCAGTCTCTGTGGTCCTGATCCTCCATGTGAGCCAGTCTCTGTGGTCCTGCACTTTTCCCCTCGCGAGCTCCTTTTCAATCACCAAGTCCTGTCTCTGTCTGTCTGTCTGTCTCTCTCTCAGGTGTCCTGTCTCACCCATATTGCTGCTAACTACCTGAATGGGGGTCAGGAGGCTCGGCGCTGGGGGACGGCCCATGAGAGCATCGTCCCGTATCAGGTACCTGCACAACATAAAAGCCCCTAGCATGCAGGGGCCTCGGCTCGACCTTTCACAATAAGAGCACTGGTACAGACTTTATACTTCATACTGTACACACAGGTACAGTATGAAGTATAAAGTACTACATGTGCCTTTGAGACGCCGTGGAGGAGTAGAAAGTAGAGTACTTTGGTCGGGGAACCGAGATCTCGTCAGTACGGGACCGACATGTCTTATCCTTTGGCCCCTCCCCATGTGGTCCCCGTCTCTCAGCAGCTCTGAAGCTCCTTACCCACAATGCCACGCTCCATGGCTCAAAGGTGCAGCTGCATTAGATGCTCTGTATTTGATACAGACGTTAAGAACTTCACACAGCTCGTTGTTAACATCATTCATTTAGTCTCCTGCTGGCGGCTCAGTCTCCTCGTTAAGGGTCAGAGCGACTAATGAACCACTGACTTAAGCTTTCAAAGTGTGCTGAAGTCATGAGAGTCCCCCAGCGGACTGCGTTACCCACAACCCCCTGGGGTCGGGGATGGAAGGAAGGCGGTGGTCGGAGAGCAGTGGGACTGAGGGGTTAGTTGTGTGTGTGTGTGAGACACACTTTTCATCAGGCGAGGAGGTTTTATTAAATCATGAGGGACGAAGAGGAGGTGAAACTGCAGAGATGATTATTAAACTAGATCCTCCACCGGTTAGAGGACGCGCTTCCTCCTGTAGTAAGAGGAGGTGTTTCCTCCCGTCAATGAGAGGAAGCTTCTTGTCACTTCCTGTCTCTGATGTCTGAAGCCGCCGCGTGTTTCTGCGTCTTTACACGTCTTCACGCACTGGTTTCACTTCCTGGTTGTAAAGTCCTGCGTGTGTTGCAGAGCGATTCACCTCCAGAACAACAGGTGGAGTCACGTGTTCTGTTGAAGACGACCTAGAGAGTCACGTCTTTGTGTGTGGAAGTCGCTGGTGGCTTTATTTATGTATCATAGACTTTATTGCCCCGTGCATCCACACTGCTGCTTTTCATCAAGGACACATTTGTCCCGTATTTTCCTCCACGACTTTGTTCCCTCGTTTGTGGAGATCTCCCTCCATGAATCAGAGGCCATCCGGCGTCCTCATAGTCCGCCAATGACGACTTGTACAAGCGCTCATATTTAAAAGCTCTTCAATCTGATCCGTTCTCTCGTAAACGTTCTTCCTTTTAATAACGGCCGTGTTGTGCTGTGAAAACGGAGACGTGAGACTCCGTAAAGGACGTAGTCAGCGGACCAATCACAGCCTGGTGCGCTCTCGATGCAAGCCTAGGAAAATGGGTCGACACACGCGAGGGACACGTGAGGGACTCTTGCGTCTTTGTGTCCTCGCGTCCCCCTCATCATGTTCTGTGTATTTCAGGGCTTCAGCACCAAAGACGGACACCTCGTCGTGGCTGCAGCCACCGACCAGCAGTTTGTCCGTGTGTGTAATGTGCGTCACTTCACCAACACACAGATGTGTTATTACATGAACTAGTTTGAGTAATCAGTGCGCGTTCTTAGGTTCTGAAGCTGAACGAGCTCACAAACAAACCCGAGTACAAAAGCAACAAACTGCGAGTCCAGAACCGCCGAGAGCTGCTGCACACACTGTCCCAGAGGTACACACACACACACACTGTCCCAGAGGTACACACACACACACACACACACACACACTGTCCCAGAGGTACACACACACACACACACACTGTCCCAGAGGTACACACACACTGTCCCAGAGGTACACACACACTGTCCCAGAGGTACACACACACACACACACTGTCCCAGAGGTACACACACACACACACACTGTCCCAGAGGTACACACACACTGTCCCAGAGGTACACACACACTGTCCCAGAGGTACACACACACACACACACACACACACACACTGTCCCAGAGGTACACACACACACACTGTCCCAGAGGTACACACACTCACACTGTCCCAGAGGTACACACACACACTGTCCCAGAGGTACACACACACACTGTCCCAGAGGTACACACACACACACACACACACACTCTGTCCCAGAGGTACACACACACACACACACACTGTCCCAGAGGTACACACACACACTGTCCCAGAGGTACACACACACACACACTGTCCCAGAGGTACACACACACACACACTCTGTCCCAGAGGTACACACACACACACACACTCTGTCCCAGAGGTACACACACACTGTCCCAGAGGTACACACACACTGTCCCAGAGGTACACACACCCACACACACTGTCCCAGATGTACACACACACTGTCCCAGAGGTACACACACACTGTCCCAGAGGTACACACACTGTCCCAGAGGTACACACACACACACACACACTGTCCCAGAGGTACACACACACACTGTTCCAGAGGTACACACACACTCTGTCCCAGAGGTACACACACACACACACACACTGTTCCAGAGGTACACACACACTGTCCCAGAGGTACACACACACACACACACACACACACTGTCCCAGAGGCACACACACACGGATAAAATACATCTTATGAGTGCTACATCAAAGACTTCTGCTTTGTTAGAGGAAAGGATCATTTGCTGATAATAATAATAACTATATGAATAATAATCATTAGAATTCTTAGATCATGTGTTGTGATGCTATTTAATTTCTAGTGATTTATTTCTCGTAGGTTCCTGCAGGAGAAGACTGCTGATTGGCTGAGGGAGTTTGAGGGATCAGGTGTTCCTGTCGGACCAATCAACAACATCCAGGAAGTGTTTTCTGATCCGCAGGTCAGATATCAAATACAAATGAGTCTTATTCTGGTTTCATTTCATTTAGGTTTTCTTCTCTCCTTTTTTCTATAATATCACATCTTACCGATTAAGGGAAAACAAACCCTTTCTAAGCATCGTTGTCTACATTAAGATCAAACTAAGTCAACTCTTCAATTCCTTTTTTACTTCCTCAAAGTATTTAAAACGGTTAGATTAACTATTATAGTTCTATTGGCTAAAAAATGCTTTTACTGCCAAAAGGCCAGACTTGAAACTAGAGACTGAGACCATAAACTTGTGTTTACTGAGGGAATAAATCAAGAGACGAGTCATTTTCTCACTATGGGAGCAGAGGAGTCGCCCCCTGCTGGTCACTACAGACATTAGAGTTCAACTGAAGGGGTGTGTGTGTGTGTGTGTGTGTGTGTGTGTGTGTGTGTGTGTGTGTGTGTCTGTCTGTGTGTGTGTGTGTGCGCGCGTGTGTGTGCACAGCAGCAAATGAAACGCACATTAAATGAATCACAGTGCGCCTCTTTGTGCCTCTGAAACCAAACAAGCTCGTTGATTAGTGGGCTGCCTCTGATCCAATCAGCTATGAGCGAGTCCTCAGCCCCGCCTCCTCCAGATGACTCTGTGTGTTTGTGTGTGTGTGTGTGTGTGTGTGCATTCTCTCTACTGGAGGAGAATCGGTGGCCTTGTGTGAACCATGAGAAGCACATCTGACTGCAGAGTTGTGTGTTTGTGTGTTTGAGGAGACATCTGTCCTGTAACTTTAATGTGTGTTGTGAGAACAACAGTTTCATCAGCACCTGGTTGTGTGACTCAGTGTGTCAGACCAGCCCATCTGTTAATCCTGCTGCACACACACACACACACACACACACACACCTGTGAGAGCGTAGATCAACGCACGTGAGAGGAACCAGAGTCGCAGACGTGCTGAAGTCACACAGCTCCATGTTCAGTCAGTAACCGACTCACGTGCTCGTCTCCCACACAGGGAGGCCCGGCGCTTAGAATCCAGCACCTTCTTGCCCACTAAACTCGTGATGAGGTCATTGAAAGGGTCAGCGGTGGGGCGCCGCGGCGCTCCAGAGTCAAGGATCTGGAAGTGATTTAGAGAAACACCAGAAACTGTGGTTCCAAGTGCTTCATCCTGACGATTGGTTTCAGTGAAACGGTGACGTCTTGTCACGGCTCTGAAGGCTAAAATAGAACTTCATGTCCACGTGTTCTCCTCTCGATGGGACGACAGGACCTGCAGCACCTCGTTACTCAGGTGATGAAAAGTTTGAGCAGTTAAGAGAGAAACGAAGTTTAGTAGAACGGCTCTTTGCTCTTTGCTCATATTCATTTCATTCCACTTTGCTGCTGCTCTCTGTCTCTTTGTCCCTCTGTCTCTTTGTCCCTCTGTCTCTTTGTCCCTCTGTCTCTCTGCGCGGTGGCCAGAAAACATCCAGCTAAATATGGCTTCAGTATTCTGACTACTGGAGGTGCGCTTGATTTATCCCAGCTGGAAGCTGGACAGCCTCTGAAGTGGACAGCTAACATGTAGCATCAGATAAATCACACTAACCTCTGAGGGGACACTGGGAATTGAACCCTTTCCAACGGCCTTCACAGGAAGGCGAAGCAAGCGTGCAGTGCTAGTGCCTTGCTCCTGGATGCACTGGGAACCCACAGCATGTCACTCATGCTCACATGTGACTAAGAGAGCTTAACCATAAGCCCTGGCAGTGCCTTGCTAAAGGCAAATGACACCCTGGCAGCCGTAGTGTGTCGGGGAATTGAATCGTTGATGCTGGACGTCCTTTTCACTTCCTGTGTTCTCTCGTTTGAAATATAGTCTTTCTGTCGTCCATAGAGCCATTTGTATCTGTGTTTGGACACCGGCTCTACAAATAACCTTTATTACTGTCTGGAAACTGTCACATGAAGCAGAAACCCCATAAAACTCCCGCTCTCGGACCGCGAAGACCTCAGCTTCCTCAGTGGAGAGCGATGCCAGCCGCCGGGTCAGGTGGGGGGTTAAAGGCCTGAGACAGATGAAAAGCTTCCTCTTGGGATCCGTCTTATGGTGTCGGACCTACGCAACAAATCGTACAGAGATTAAATCAACAATCGATTCATCAATGTCTGGATGGAGAGGGTCTTCCACTCGGAGTGGTCTGGTCTGCTTAATAACGGAAGAGTCACGTCTGGGATTCTAATCCGTCCCCAGTTCAGTCTAAAGCTTTGAACTAAAGCCCCCGAATCAAGCCAAGAGCAGAGGGAACGCCGTCTGCACCGCACAGCCAGCTTTGGATCGGACCTCCTGGAGAAGGAGACTTTCTTCACACTCTGACAGACTGGACCTTATCCCCGGCTGTTCCCAGGTATCCGGATAAGCCACGAGCTGACAGCTGAAAGCAGCTCAGGGAGTAAAAGTAGTAGAAGTAAAATCAAACTTCTTCAGTTTCTTCTGGACAGATTCTTGCTTCACTGGTCAGTCGGGCCTTCCTAACCCTAGAGTGACCAGTAGCCTACCAGCCTGCGTCCTTGTGTGAGGGTCTACAGAGGAAGTGGTGCGATGGTCTTCACGTCTCGATGCCTCGTGCTGTCAACGTCTTACCTTCATTCTTCTGAGTGACGTCGTATCTTATCGATATCCGCTCGCTGAAGGGAAAGCAGTGTTTCAGGAGGTCATGGAGCTCATCTCAGCCAGCTCCTCTGCTGCCAAACCCATTTCTTTTCCAAATGAATCATGCTGGTCTGTCAAGTGAAGAGTTACTTTGCTATCAGAGGGAGTGCTGAGTCGGTGGGGAGAGCTTCTCATAACTCCACCGCGGGAGGACTTTGGATGATAGAAGACGTCTTCTTTTCTAATGGACCCTTTTCATCAGAACATCACAACGTTCTGCTGCACAAACGCTTCTCACGGGAAACCAAATGGCTGCTTCCTTGAAAGTGAAACGCTGAACGTTATTCATGCGGTTTCAACTTCAAAATGATGCACGCTGATTTAAGGACGTATTCTAGGGTCAAATTGTTCTGCTGGAACTGAAGTGACATTTATTTGATTACAGGCCCAGTAAACAGACACTTCTCAGTTCTCTAAATCACCTGCATATCATCACATAAACCTTTAGTTTATCCTTCAATGGCATGCTGCCTACTGTGGGGGTGATTATCCAATTATTAATGTTCCACACTCGCATATTGGCTGAATGGAACACAGAACAATCTTTAATTGACATTGTCAATGATGACACAATATTGTGCTGCCAAAAAGAGTCAAGTGGACAAAGTAGGACATCCCGAATGTCCTTAAACACATTTACAAAGGGACGTTTTGTGAACGTAAACGGGAAGGAATGCCCCGAACATGAATGACCACCTCCTTTCTTAAGCTTTACAAGTATGCTGCAGGAGACGTCTGCATCCGGACCACCGACCCGCCGAAATGACAGTTTGTCCGTGTGCGTTTTCATGGCCTCCGGTCATCACTACCTGTGTGTCTGCTGACAGAAGGATGGGCGGAGCACATCTGTCCATGAAGACTCCTGAAACCCAATTAGAGGATTAGTCTCCTAGGAGCGACCACTCTTATCATGAACGGGAGGACAAAGACAAGCCCAGGACAAGCCACGCCTCTCTCTGGCTCACTCAAGTCAACAGAACAAGTGAAAAGGATTCATTACATGTCAAAGACTCGAAGTCCGACTGGCCTGTGGTCGGCTCACACTTCCTGAGTTCCACCAGGATGATGTAGTCACAAAGTCACAAAGCTCGTATCATCTCAACTGGTCTCTTGACCATGACGATGAGTTCACTGTGCTCTAATGGCCTCCAGTCTCCACATCTCAATCCAAAAAGCACCTTTGGGACGTGCTGGAACGGGAGATTCTCATCTTAGACGTGCAGCTTTCAAACCTGCAGCTTTCAAACCTGCAGCAACTGCGCGATGCGACATGTCAATATGGATCAACATCTCTGAGGAACGTTTCCAACACCTTGTTAACTAAGTAGAACACCTAGAATTTCTTTTACTAGCAAGGTGACCTAATAGAGGGCCGCTGCATGTATAAATGTCTGAGGCCTTGTGTCAAAATAGTAACCTCTCAGCACAGTTCATCTCAGGAGCAGCCTTCCCCTCACTACAGAACGTTCACTCCACCAGGAGAGCCCAGAATATCAAGGACGGGATCCCCGCAGCACAGACTCTTCTCCTGCCACCGGCCAGAAGCTACAAGAGAATAACCAGCAGCTTCTACCTGCAGGCCATCAGGCTGATGAACATCTCGCTCACAAGACACGGATAACAGCCCAACCACACACACGTCTCTTCTTCTCAGGTTCCACTCTCTCTTCTGCTTTGTAATCTCATTCCTCTTCTCTTCATCTCGTTATCATGTCTCCTCACAAAATCTTCTTTTTCATGAGCGCTGTTTCTCAGTCTGAATTGGGAAGTGGTTCTAAGAGGCTTTGCCCGGCTCCGTGAAGCTAAATATCTCCAGCCAACCAATGGAATGTGACTGTAGTCGTCTGATGAAGACGAACGCCGCCTCTTCAGGACCTTCCATCACATGTTCCCTCTGACTTCTTCGCCTGTCCATGTAAACCTGCTGCCGTGCTAAGAGAGGACGTGTTATGACTCTTTTATGACATTTTACGTCTTGTTTCTGCCACAGACTAGTTGTTGCCCTCCCGAATTTGTTGAAACATTCCCATGGTTCAGTCTTGAAGCTGATCTGGATCACAAAGAGTATCATCAGCTCTGTGGAAAATGTTAATGTGGAAAGAGGACGGGGTGGTTTGTTTGATTTGACAGAAAAATGTTTGATGGAAGAACCATCATTTTTCGATGAGTCGCAACTAGTGTTGTTTTAGTCTTCTCAACATAAACACAGAGACTGATTATATCTGAACTACACGGCCTACAACACCAACGTTAATGAAACTTCTGAGCAGAAACACGTGGGAGGAGCTGATGGATGAAACCACGTTCACACTATTAATCTCAGAGAAAAAAATCGCTTCATCAACCTACAGATGTACAAAACTCGTATGATTTCTTTAATAATGCACACCCCGTGATTCACTCTCAACCAATCAGAACGCTGGATTCCATCTACCTGTATTCTAATGGGAGATAAAGGCAATCATGAGTGGACAAGATGTCACCTGGAGCACAGCTGCAGCTACACACCAAAACATAAAGGAATACCGTTTCTGTACCACTCTTCCCACCAAAACACATTCCACGTGGCATGGTTTACATTTCATACAACACACAGACGCACAGGTACACAAATAGGTGTATGTGTGCACACACAGACCGCTTTAGTAAGGAATTTATATCCCAAACCGAGTTCTAACACTAAATCTCTTTCTTCCAGAGTAATATATTTAAGTATTTCACCAGTTCTTTGGTGAGAACGGACATTTTAACCAAACGCAAGGCTAATTTTTGCATGTTACTTACATGATGATTGGCGGTTATTGGCTTCATTCGTGCCAGAGAGGAGCGTGTCTTATTCCCATGGAAACTCATCAGCTCAGCCTTTTATATCCTCCATCAATCATTAAGACAAATAACATCTGTTTCTGCATAGTACTTATTTCTGGAAGTCTCAGATATCCAAAGAAAGTCTGACATCATGACCTCATCGTGACCTCATTATGACACCATCATGAGATGAATCTTTTACAATCCAGGTTGGCCTCTTCATTACAGTTGTAATAACGATGTGCTGTGATTTAGTCCCAATAAACAGCATAAGAGAAATAAAACATAATGATGCCAATCATCGTTCTGTTTAATTACGTCACCTCAAAGCGTCTTCAGGTGCAGCCTGGGAGACTCGCGTGAAACCTGCTCTTTACTCAAAGAAATGTCACTTTTTGTCAGGATGTGATGCTGCATGGATCTGTATCCCGTTTCTACTTCAGGTGGTGGAACAGGAAGTCGTGACGTCACTGCTTTACTCTTCAAAGTCAGCGGTGCTCATTGAAGAGCATTATTCATCCCTCAGGAGCGCTGGCATCCAGGCTGCAGCTTTACGTAACACATCAAGTGCTGCTACCAGGCGGCTCCTCACTTCACACGTTCAGAGGAGCTTTGATGGCCGAGGTCAAACAGAGAGCAGCAGGTTCAGATCTTCACGTCCTCCTTCTCCCCTTGATGTTCCAGTAACACCTTGTAGCAGCAGCTCCCACGGGGGCTGCTTAGCCGCCCTAACGGACGCCACAGCTGGCTTCAAAGAGAGCGAGGAGGAAGGGGAGGAGCAGAGGGAAACATCAGGGGCGAAGAGGTCATTGTCTATAACTCCCACTCTTGTGTTGACAAACAAGTAACTGTGGAACTAGAACCCCGTACAGTACAGCAGTCACACTCTACGATACCAACCAGAACCGTAGGGTTGTTCAGCGTTCGTCCTGAGAGAAAGTTTGGGCTCCTGGTAGAACCTTGTGCAGGAGATCCACTGTATTCTACCCAGAACCAAATACAAAGGGTTTTTAGCGAGAACCATCTGTGAGGGCTCCCACCCGGCCGGTTCCACAGCAAACCCCTTCAAGAGGGTGCTACCAAGAACCCATCTTATATTCCTCCTGAACCCCTAAAGATTAGACCGTGACTCTGAACAGCTCCAGGCAGCTCGTGACGTTTCCAGTGATTGACAGGAGGCGGAGTTAGTAATCCCGTCTATGCATGTCTCAAACACTGTTTACTTGAGGAAATGATGGAGGTTTGGTTCAAAATACACACCAGGTGAATCCACGATGACCTCTGGTTCCTCATCGTTCTGCCGGAGGACGGAACACCTCAGTGTCTCAGGAGGATGTTCCTCTGCTGAAGCCTCAACGTTTCTCCACTGCGTTGAGTCTGAACGTTTACTTTCATTTTCTATCCCCTGAATTATGGAGAAATGTTTCAATAAACAACATCAAACACAGACATAAACACAGGCAGGTTAAACCGTGCAGCCGCTGATCAATAAACATTGAGATTAGAGCTAAACACACCGCGGTGTAATTATGTTCCATCATTCAGGGGAGAAGGAACCCTGAGCTGTGGAAACACGGAGGCTTCAGTAAACAGACCCAAAGAAAAATAAAGACGTGTCTGATGAAGTACACAGACTTTGAGCTAAACGCTAACATGCTAACGTGCTAATGTTTGAGCTACTTTGCTACTGCATGTGTAATGAAGTTATTCCGTTCTATTTCATCACCGTTCCACAGAGATACAGACGATAGCATCCACAGAGCTAAGTGGCTAACTGAGTGTGTGTGTTGTGACCATGTGGATGTAATGATACTCTGCATAACAAGCAGATAGGATTTCACACACACACATGCATGCAATCATACTGTTACACTTGTATGCACGCATGCACAGACGCTGGCACGCACATCTAACACTGTTTATGCCAATGAGCGAGGGAGGAGCCGTCCCGTGGAAACTTTTCTGTTGTCTAAATGAAGATCGCATTTATAAAACTACCAATACAACGGTACAATTTTTGAAAGGAGTGTGTTTGTCTGTGTGTGTCCATGTCCCGTCCAGAAGTGAGCGAGACAGGAAGTACAGTTGGTCTTAACGAGCGTCCGTTTGTCTTTCTGACTTTGTGTGTTGTGTGTGTAACTGTGTGTGTGTTGTGAGCAAGAAAACAATCCAAACTAAATGATTAAAGTCATTATTAAACTAACCCCAGTCAGCTGATGCTGAGGTTTCCATGGCAACAACCTCCAGGTGTTTTATGTGGAGAAAGGGGGTCCAGAAATAAGTCTTGTGTATGTTTAATATTTCAAGGATGTCATACAGCCACTGTGCACACACACACAACCTACACACACCCGTCCGTGTCGGCTTCCTGCACCGTGCGTCATGTCTGATGTTTAAATTAAAGCCATCGATCAGCGCTTGGCTCTTATTAAAGTCCCCCTGCAGATAAAGAGCGTGTGTGTGTGTGTGATGTACCTTAGGGTCATGTTTGATTTATGGTTTACGTTGTGTATTTTCATTATTTTACCTCAGGGTGGCGCTGGAGGAAATAACTGGGTCATGAGACTCGAGAGGGTTCGTCCTCTGGAGAGCAGGAAAGTTGTGAAAAAAATGATTCACGTTGTCTTGTGAATCTACTAAAGCAGAGACGAAGAAGAGGAGGATATTGTTGTGGAAGTTGGATACATCTTGTTTTTCCTTGCGACATTTGTACAGGAAGTGACCATATCTAGAGACCTGTCAATCATTGTGTAGCCCCGCTCTGAAGCATTCCCTGCTTCATGGGCTGTTTGACTCTAAGTGGACCTACTAAATGAACATCATGCTGTACTGCAGAAGAAGAAGAAACCAGAGATCGAGACATCAGGAAGACAACGATGACTTTTGTAATGTTTTTGATGATGAAGATGAAGTGTTTTGATACCGCCAGGCTTCTACTTCAAGTTTTTTTGTTTGCTTGCAGGTGAAACACAACGGCCTCATACAGGAGATGGAGCATCCAACGGCAGGACAAATCACTGTACCGGGTCAGTATACACACAGACGTACACAAGGCACGACACTGACATCCATCCGTTAGCTTGTAGTCTCTCCTCCAGCCCGCTGGCATCCATCCCGTTAGCTTGTAGTCTCTCCTCAGCCCGCTGGCATGCATCCGTTAGCTTGTAGTCTCTCCTCAGCCCGCTGGCATCCATCCGTTAGCTTGTAGTCTCTCCTCAGCCCGCTGGCATCCATCCGTTAGCTTGTAGTCTCTCCTCAGCCCGCTGGCATCCATCCGTTAGCTTGTAGTCTCTCCTTAGCCCGCTGGCATCCATCCGTTAGCTTGTAGTCTCTCCTCAGCCCGCTGACATCCATCCATTAGCTTGTAGTCCTCTCCTCTGCCCTCTGACATCCATCCGTTAGCTTGTAGTCTCTCCTCAGCCCTCTGACATCCATCCGTTAGCTTGTAGTCTCTCCTCAGCCCTCTGACATCCATCCGTTAGCTTGTAGTCTCTCCTCAGCCCGCTGGCATCCATCCGTCTAAACCAACCATCTGGTGTGTGTGTCTATTCCCCTCGTTAACAATATTCTTTTCTTTGCTCTCAACTTTCTGTTCTTTCCATCTTTGTTTACTAAACAACACCAGACACAAGTTTGTGTATGTGCATGCGTGCGTGTGTGCGTGTGTGTGTGTGTGTGTGTGTGTCAAAGGTCATCCGAGCGTGGAAACGTGCAGCTCAGAACATTCATTGGCCGTCCTCTTGGTGACATTCCTGTGTGTGTTTTTGTGTGTCTTTGTTGTATAAGAAGAAAAGCCACAACTGAGAACAAACAGGAGTGTTTGTCTATTAATAACGACGTTATGTAATCATTTAATAACATTAAAAATGAAGATATAAACAGCACACAAAACAGCAATTATTTTTTTGGTTTTTGCATTGGGAGGAGCTTAACTCTGCTGCACATTAACCCAGAACTGCACCTTTAAATGGACATCTTCATCTTAAATGACCAGACGGCGTAGTCGATAAAAGCAAAGCCATTTGTAAAGTTTCTACGAGTCTGAAGTACTATCTGCTTGTTTCATTTCTGTTTACTTATCTGTATTTATTTATCCATCTTTCTGTTTGTTTGTTGTCTTCAGGTCCAGCCGTTCGCTTCAGCAGCTTTGCCCACGACAAGGCGACGCCCCCTCCTCTGATTGGCCAGCACACCGTGCAGGTGCTGCGGCACACATTGTCTTACAGTGATGACGTCATCAATGCGCTGCTGGAGTCTAAGGCGGTGACTCAGAATGAGGTGTCATGATTGGCCGTGGGGGAGAACCAATGAGAACAGATCCTTGATCCCAGAGTCACAGTGGTTAAACAGTCTGCTGAGAAAAATGAGCTGCTGTTGTTGTTGTTGTTGAATAAACTCTTTTTTGCTTTTACATCTTCTCAAAATTTTTGACCCGATTGTGTCGGTGCGAATGATGTGTCCCTGAACGCACCGCCAAGAGAGAGGCCTGACCACAGTTCTATAGAATATTAATCTCATTCATTCATATCTTCTTCATCATGGAGAATAAAACAAACTGATTTTCTGATGTTTAAACTAAATACAAAGTTAAAATAACGTCAACTTTACATTTCTCTTGAAGTTCTCTATTTTTCAGAAAAATCTTTCAAAAACTGAACTGAAAATGAACTGATGAGGTGGGGAGAGGATGGGGGAGGAGATGGGAGGAAGAGAGCAGGTTGGAGGAGATGAAAAGGGTGGGAGAGTGAGAGGAGAAGGAGAGCGGAGCGAGGATGGAGGAGGTGAGAGGAGCGAGGAGGAGTTGAAGAAGGAGGAGTGGCAAGCTGACAGTTGGAGTGATGATGATGGCTTCTTGGTGGACGTGATGTTTACTGGAATGAAGAACATGTGACGTTTGTTTGAGACAGCAGGGAGGGACGGGGGAGGAAGGGGGGACTCAGGTGTGATTGATCACAAACCGGAGACCATCCAGAACCTGACATGAAACCACAAGGGACTGAGGAGATATTACTGAAAACCTCTTCTCCTTCTTTACACGCCTACACGTCTTTATATATGTTCTACACATGTTGTGTATGTTCTACACATGTTCATATATGTTCTACACACGTTTATATATTTTTATATATGTTCTACACATGTTACATATGTTCTACATATGTTTATATATGTTCTACACATGTTTATACATGCTCTACACACGTTTAGATATGTTTAGATATGTTTTACACATGTTACATATGTTCTACACATGTTTATATATGTTCTACACATGTTACATATGTACTACACATGTTTATATATGTTCTACACATGTTTATATATGTTTTACACATGTTATATATGTTCTACACATGTTTATATATGTTCTACACATGTTATGTATGTTCCACACATGTTCTATATGTTCTACACATGTTTATATATGTTCTACACATGTTACATATGTTCTTCACATTTTTATATATCTTCTACACATGTTTATATATGTTCTACACATGTTATATATCTTCTACACATGTTTATATACGTTTATATATGTTCTACACATGTTTATATATGTTCTACACACGTTTATATATGTTCATATATGTTCTACACATGTTACATGTTCTACACATGTTTATATATGTTCTACTAACGTTTATATATGTTCTACACATGTTTATATACGTTCTACACATGTTTATATATGTTTTACACATGTTATATATGTTCTACACACGTTTATATATGTTCTACACATGTTATGTATGTTCTACACATGTTTATATATGTTCTACACATGTTTATATATGTTCTACACATGTTATATATGTTCTACACATGTTTATATACGTTTATATATGTTCTACACACGTTTATATATGTTTTACACGTGTTATATATGTTCTACACATGTTTATATATGTTTATATATGTTCTACTAACGTTTATATATGTTCTACACATGTTTATATATGTTCTACACATGTTTATATATGTTCTACACATGTTTATATATGTTCTACACACGTTTATATATGTTCTACACATGTTACATATGTTCTTCACATGTTTATATATGTTCTACACATGTTTATATATGTTCTACACATGTTATATATCTTCTACACATGTTTATATACGTTTATATATGTTCTACACACGTTTATATTTGTTTTACACGTGTTATATATGTTCTACACATGTTTATATATGTTTATATATGTTCTACACATGTTTATATATGTTTTACACGTGTTTATATATGTTCTACACATGTTTACATATGTTCTACACATGTTTATATATGTTCTACACATGTTTATATATGTTCTACACACGTTTATATATGTTCTACACATGTTACATATGTTCTTCACATGTTTATGTTCTACACATGTTTATATATGTTCTACACATGTTTATATATGTTTTACACATGTTATATATGTTCTACACATGTTTATATATGTTATACACACGTTTATATATGTATAGACGTGTACTGTATATATTTGGCCTGTGAATAGAATACAATTAATTAATGCACATTTTGAAATACATTAATCTTGATCAATGGCATTTAATGAATGTTGTTGTTGCTTCAATGTTGTTTTTAATGAATGTTTGTTTTTCTTCCAAAGACAGAATCAGACAAGTAAAAAATTCAGAAACGTGTATTTTAGACACTGTCGTTTAATTGTTAATGTTATTTTAAACACAAAACTACACACATGTGATCATCGAGGCAGAATCCCACCAGGTGGAACATGTTGAACATGTGACTCTTCTGTTGTCCTCGTGCACTTTGTTTAAACAATGTCCCACATTTAGCAGGACGTCTTCAAACCAGTCTTTTAGGGACACAGCGGTCCTCTGCAGACTGTGACGCGCAGGGCAACTGACGTTATGTTGAGATGGAAGTAGCATAGCAGCTTAGCCTAGCAGCGAACTTACCTTAGCATAGCAGCTAGCTCAGCATAACAGTGCTTTAAGTGGTCCGTTGGCGCTTGTTTTACTTCCAAAGCAAAAAGCTTTGTGTCCGTCAACTAAACCGGAACAAATGTACATTAACTATGTTGAAATATTTTGTTGCATTAATCTCGGCCACACACACACACACACACACACTATACATGATATATATATATATATATATCATGTATAGTGTGTGTGTGTATATCATGTATAGTGTGTGTGTGTGCGTTTCGTTGCATATGAAGTGTTATGAGCGTTTTCGTCATCATCTCCAGAGAAATGAGACACAGAGCAGGAAGTCACACCCGATCACCTCCATCGCACACACACATTAGTAATCTACTAATCACAGTGAACCAACCCAGATATCATCGATCCGTCCTTCAACACAAACACGTTAGAAACAACGAACAGCCACACAATGTTAAAACAACCAGCAAACTGTAAAATAACCACACGTGAGGACAACAAGCTGTCTGTCTCTCTC